GTTAATTTAAAAATTGCTTTAAACCCCATTAAAATTTTCCCCTAGGCCAGTCCTGCAAGTTGGAATAGCCAAGTCTTAAGGGCGCGGCGGAAGGGAGATCAGGGATCACCCTGATCTCTGGGGGTAGCTCATTCCAGAGGGTGGGAGCTCCCACAGAGAAGGCCCTCCCCCTTGGGGTCGCCAGCCGGCACTGTCTGGCAGACGGCACCCTGAGGAGACCCACCCTGTGGGAGCGTACAGGCCGATGGGAGGTAATCTGTGGCAGAAGGCGGTCTCGAAGATATCCCAATTGGCTATCCATATTAGAGATATTCATGCACCCCAAATTCATAAATTTAGGAAGAGTAATTACATATAAAGATATCTTAGACGAGAATGGGGACCTGAAAACAAGGAAAAGATTATCAGAAGATGGTATAGAGCTGGAATGGTGGGCATACTTACAAATACAGTCACGATACAAAAAAGACAAAAAAGAACCAGGGATAAAATTAGAGCATACACAATTAGATAAAATCCTTCTAGGAACATAAGATCAAATGATAAAAAAGATATATCAATATTTATTAGAACAAGATTTGTTAGAAGAACAGGTAAAAGAAACAATGTTAATCTGGAGTAAAAATTTTGGTTACAGTATTGACCTAGATAATTGGCAATCATTATGGGACAGAAACAGGAGGTTAACACTAGCCACCTCCTACAAAGAAAATTTATACAAGATGTTTTATATATAGATGGCACCTTCCCCCTACAAGGCTAGCAAAAATAGATAAAAAAACCTCACCAACATGCTGGAAATGTAGAAGGTTTCCAGGGACTTATTATCACATGTGGTGGGAATGTTCAAAGGTGCAAAATTTTTGGAATTGGATAAAAAATTGGCTGGAAGAAATACTATTACAAAAAATTGATTTAAAACAAGAAATCTTCTTATTAGGGGTTATTAATGATAAATTCAGCAAAGCATCTTTTTACTTACTATTGCATATTTTAACCGCAGCAAGATTGGCATATGCCCAAAAATGGAAAGGAAAGGAAACCCCCACTGAGGAAGAAATAATAAAATTTTATCCTGCGCCGAAATGGACAGGTTAACTCTAGAGATTAAAAATAAAACTGAAACAGAGTATTATGAAATTTGGAAAAAATTGTACGATTGGTTAGAGATAAGGAGGATCGCTGAGATGATTATCGATTGACTAGTTGATATCATAAGGACTTCTTATTAGTACCTATATTAGGACACAACTGAAAGATATGTAAATACGTTGACGATTGAAAGATGGTTTATCAAAAAATTTACAGATGTTATACGCACAGTTTGTTATACTCTGTCCTGTTATAGAATGTATTTTAAGTTTCTGTTTTCCTTTCTGTAACATAAGGGAATACTAATAGCACTGTTGAAGCCAGGGAAGTTGAATCATTTCCATTTTTGTTTTTAAAATGTACATTTAATAAAAATTTGTTAAAAAAAACATGTATTGTCTCAAGTATCTCACTCTCTACAGATATTCTAGAATTCTTTTAGTACCTGTTGAAAACCCTAACGGAGTCTTTGGCTTTTAATAATATGATGTTAACACATTTGCCATTTTAGCTTTCATTATCCTTTTCTTTTGTTGGTTTTGAAGGCTTTAAAATGCTTTTTAAACAGCTCTGGCTGACCTGCCAGTGTAACACTGTATTGACATGATGCTTATTGGGAAATGTATTTTTGCATTTTACTAAATTCTAAGTTTAATAACTACTGGAGAACTTGCTTTAATAGTATACAAATGTTACAAGTAAGCTGAAAGATAGACCCTCAATTTTCTCTAGGCTGTAAACAGATGCTTTGACAAGGCCTTAGTGTTTGCATGGCTGGTATGTTGTGGCAAAGGCAACGGAGACAGCAGGCAAGATAATGGCCATTTGGAGTGGATGATAAAAATACAAAGCCTATGTCAGTTTTTTTATGTACTGTACAAGCATATGGATGCAATAAATAAACTAGTGGTACTTAATAAGTAATGTGGATGAAGTCTAATATTGTAACATATGGACTTTGACTGGAGAGATTTCAGTTTAAATCTCCATGTGAACCAGGGAAATTATTGGATGACTTTTTCTACCAACAGATGGCTGTCCCACTCACAAGACTGTTGTCTGTTGCTAAATCAGCCACTCGCCAACCATCATCCAAATAACATAAGGCTGTGAATTTCAAGGGACTTGCTGAGGATGACTCTACATGATGAGTAAAACAGTAACCATTTTTCATAGATTTTGGAGCCAACTTGATAAAATGGACAGGGCAGCAAGATTGTACTGGGAAAAAAACCCCTGCAATTTACAATATGGTTTGCCTCCCTGCCATTCCAGAAAAAAATGAAAGCTAGCAAAACTATTTTAAAGCCAAACAGTCATGCCTCACACAGATGGTTTATTTACTTTCAGATATTCAACATAAGAGCTGCATAGAATAATGCTCCAGCAAGGGTTACTTAAGAGTTGTTTCTTCAGATCTGATTTTTGAGAATACCATCTTTAATAAACCTTCACTGAAGAGAAATTCCTTGTCTTTGCATTTCTGATCCTATTAAGACTGAAAATGAAAAGAACGTCAGTCCTAAGATTTCTCAGGATCCCACGCTACAGTTATTCTTTCATTCTAGGGCCAAATAGTAACTCTTGAAGGTTGGGGAATGCAATGGATCCTGATGAGTCTTGTCGTTCTCTTTAATTAATTTACTTGGCCTATTCCCAAGGACACTACACATACTTCCTTTTCAGTAAGTTCTTTTTATTGGACCTGTTTGAATTATGGTAACTGGTAATCTCCCTCCCTCCCAATTAACTGAATAAAAGCGGCTCTGGGTTTAGTAGTTGCTCTGACGTTCTTGCTGCCGATATCCTCCCCGCCGCATGTAGCCCCCTTCGTTCTTACGATAGCCATCCTTTTGGTCTGCAAGATAAGACAAGAGTTGATCAGGAGTTAAAGGTACAGCAAAATATGAATCAGGGACAAGCAAACAATAAATGGCCACGGAATGAATATCACTTTGGCTGTGCAGATTGTATTAGGGGGGGGGAGGAGGAAGAGAGCAGAAATGGTCAATGAACTGTACTTTCCCTGGCTGGAGGGATATTAAAACAAGATGAACTTGAATCCTATAATGAAAAGAATGGAGGCTTCATGCCCCGATACTAGGAAAATACTAGGAAAAATAAGATACTTAGTAAACTTTCAAAAGATTTTCAGATTTTGTTCCACAGCCGCTGGAACATTTTTCCCCTTGGTAAAGGGAAGTACAGACATGAGTGTGTTTGTGTGTTGTGAAGAGAAAAATAGTTAAGTACCAGTGACACCTGGGCTTTAACTTACCCCGAAAGTAGCCACCGTAAGTGCCCTGCTTCTGATCAAAGACCCTCTCATTGTTTTCCACAAGGCTGCCCAGCTTCTCAGCCAGCTGCAATGCCAGGTTCTGCTGGGTGGTGGGCTCTGTTCGATGCATCACAACTGTCTGGGTTGGCTGATCTAAGGAGGCCTAGAAAAGTTTGAAAGGCACAGAATAGCTTGTACGCACTGAGAGATTCCCTCCTATGTTGTACGTGACCTCCTAGCCAGCTCTACCAAGATGAAATTTCTACACAGTATGGAACTGAATCTGACTTGAATGCTGTAGTCCTCCTACCCACTACAAAATTCTGATTCGGTCTCTTCCGATCATGATTATCTTGGTCGTTTGAAGGGGTATTTGCCAACACAGGTAGCCCTGTACTTACAATTGCAAGTAGTCCTCGACTTACAACAGTTTGCTTAGTGACCACTGGAAGTTACCAGGGCACTGAAAAGAGTGACTTATGACCATTTTTCCATACTTATGACCTTTGCAGCATCTCCCAAGGTCACATGATTTACATTCGGATGCTTGACATTGATGATGGTTGCAGTGTCCCGGGGTCACGTGATCCCGCTTTGCAACTTTCTGACAAGGAAAGTCAACGGGGAAACCAGGTTCGCTTCACAACCATATTCCTAATTTAACAACCACAGCGATCTGCTTAACAAATGTGGCAAGAAAAGTTGTAACAGGGGCCAAAACACATGTAACAAATTTCTCACCTACTAACATAAATTTTGGGCTCAACTGTGGTCGTATGTTGAGGACTGCCTGTATTCTTTTAGCCAGCAAAACTACAACAGCAGTGAAACAAGTAACTTAGAATTGGTCCTCGCGCTTACAATCAATGCAGCATTCCTGTGGTCACGTGATCAAAACCTGGGCACTTGGCAGGGATTTACAATGGTTGTAGCACCCTGGGATCACAGGATCACCACCTGCCACCTTCCCAGCTGGCTTCCGACAAACAAAATCAATGGAGAAGCCAGATTTTTTAAAAATGACTGTGTGATTCACTCAACACCTGCAGCAATTCACTAAACAACTGTGGCAAAAAAAAAGTCTTAAAATCAGGCACCACTCACTTAACCGCCTGCATTGCAATGGAAATTTTAGTTTTAACTGTGGCTGTAAGTCAAGGATTACTCTAATATAATTATTATTAGAGGTGAGGCTGTTGTTGATGAACAGGACGGCAGATGATATTATTACAGATAATATGAATGCTTTTTTTTTTTTTTTA